GAACGCCCACAGATGACACGGGTAATTTTAAATCATAAATTTTGTAATTTTTTAAAACTATTTTTTTTTTTTAATTATTATATTGCAGAGCTTAATGTACAATGGTATATACCCTTTTATAGTCTCTACTTCATATTAACGGGCTTGCAAATCAATTTTGCCAATACCGCCTTTGGTTTGGGTAGACGCTTTCGGCGTCTAAATGTAATGTTAAGAAATAGTTTCCTAAAAGGTTGGTAGAATTTTAAAATATCAAAACAAAATTCACAAATTTACGTAAAATTTTTATTTGAACAGATGTTGATAACAGCCAAAAGTACGTTCCCTTAAAACCATTAATCACTACTGTGAAGGTGGTATCGCAGCATCCATTGGCTTTACACCAAAGTCTTTCAAAATTGACTCATGTTCCAACTCAAGACTCAGGTAAATTTTATGTAAGCTTTTTCAATGAAATGGGGCATCATAATGGAAAACTCATAATTTATATGACTTCCAAACAAATAAAATGAAATTAAATCACAATTATGAAATGTGGAAAAATCATATCATATAAACCCCTTTCACATCACTATGAAATGACAAATCTGAATTTAAAATACTAGTAACTTTAGCAATATAGAAAACAAAACCATCTATAAATAGCAAAACATTCGAAAGTCCCTGACTCAGCCGGGAAAATGTGAAAACGGGATTGAAAGTCAAATAGTAATGCTTCCTCTGATCCGAAGAAGTGCGCGAGCTACTTCAGCCGGCAAATATAAATATATTGCAACCTTCGCCGGACAGGGGTAAAAGATGTGTTATCTGACGCATGCGCAAAACGCCAAATGGCAGCGAATTAGGTGGTTCAAGGTTCAGGGTGTCATCAGCAAGTCTAAATCTTGTTGAACTTGTCAAAAGCCTTAGACAGAGTTAATCAGCAAGACAACACAACGCTACTAGAAGATTTTGAACAATCCATGCTTCCTCAGGGGTGCTACAGATGAACCTTGAATAATCTAATCGGTCGTCAATCATCCGTATTATTTCGAGGTCAAAATTAAACATTAATACAAATTAACCAGCGGGTTCCCCGTTACTGTTTAACTACTACATCTCGAGACTCTCCCAAGCAACAGACCGATTTTTCGTTACCTCATGTGCTGATGACTACACGTAGCACTGAAATCATTGAAAAGTGTTAGAACGTGAATGCCTTCGTAAACTTTCTCGAAAACTCCTCCTATACTAAATCCACAGCAACCATAGTAATACGGTATAGACTTTAAACTTTAAACCGTCAATAACACAAAAAATATACAGACCTATCAGAGCACAGCACTCCGGACAATTACAGTATGTGTGTTGAAAACCTGCTCAGTAAGGTCCGCATGCTTCCGATTCAATATATCACAACTAACTCCTTTTAAATTAGTTTCTGCTTGGATGCATACAGAAACCATACTGGCAGCTATCTGTTTGAAACGGAACCATGTTCTAGGAATATCAAGAGAGCCTTCCTACAATACGTCGACGAGGTACAGTGGAGTCAATTAACACCTTCATTGACTCCCTCCCAGTAAATTTCGTCGAGGAAATCGAAACAACACTCATCGCAGACCGTGAGCGGTGTTCCCGATATTGTAGTAGTACATGTCTCCACTGCCGTTGCTTATGTAGCGTCTACTAAACCCTGTTTAATGGTAGAAATTGTTGATTAAGATGTGGGAAACGAGCTGTATTGGCAGGATCAGTTCACCCATTTCCATTTGATTTAACTAAAATAACGCAAATCCTTTACTCAATTACTGAGGTCGGTCTTGAGACTTAAACTCAGAAGTAAAAAGGGTGAAAATAACATAACAGCTGATACCGAGTCATTTACTTAGAATAATTTATAAAAAAAAAAACTGTATAAAATAAAATATAAAAAAATTAAATGAACAAAATTTAATACAATGAAATCTCACATAAGTGGACACTGGCAGGGCCAGTATTTTTTTTGTTTTTTTGTTATAATAAGCAAATCAAAAAATTAAAATTTTAAATCCATAAATATACGGATGAAAACATTATATAATTGATTAAACTTAACACAATATTAGCTAAATTCATACACATTTTCTTTATATATGCAGCTAAAAATAAAGTCGCTTTACTAAGATTGCTTGAAGAAAACCACGAGTCGTTGGGCAAATGCATGCGCTTGGTATCTAAGTGAGTAATACTTCAATTAGTTTCTATTAAAGAATAATTATGCGTAGTAACAGTTTTCATAACTTCAAAATCCTTCAATATTCAACAGTTCGCATGGTGTGGCAGTGCTCTTCATATTGGTCTCCTGCCTGCTGCACTTGGTCGCCACTTCATATTTCCTTTTTTTGGAGTTGCTAAGTAAAAAGGACAGCGGCATGGTGTGGCTACAAGTGTTATGGATTATCTTTCATTCTCTGCGCTTGATATTAGTCGTTGAGCCATGTCATTTGGCAACAGTAGAGGTGGGTAAATATTTGTAATGGCATACTTATTATTCAATTTTCACATTTCAGTCAAAAAAGACTATACAAATAGTGTGCGAAATTGAGCGCAAAATTCACGATCCAATATTGACCGAGGAGGTAGGTGAAAATCACATACATTAATTCAAATGCAATATAAATTGACAGCAAATAAACAGCTTGCATGCAATTAATTGACACTTGTACAATTATTGCGCAGTATTAAACAAATTTGCTTGCTCACTCAAACACAGGTGAAAAAGTTTTGGCAACAATTACTTGTGGTGGATGTGGAATTTTCGGCGAGTGGTCTTTGTCGTGTTAACCGAACGCTACTAACATCGGTGCGTACAAATAACTGTGCGTATATGTATGTGCAAAGGATACACTAAGCAAATAGTACAATTCAAACAAATATCGCTTGTTATAGAATATACTACATTGCTTATATAAATACTGTGTGAAAATCAGTTTATCCTTTTACCATACATCTTTGAAGTTTCATCAATAACTTTTATTTTATAATTCCAGTTCAGCTCGGCTATTTGCACATATCTCGTAATACTCATACAATTTCAAAACACCAATGGTTAAACTATTTGAGAAGAATTCTGATATAGAGTAAATAAATATTAATAAAAAAAAACTAATAAAACTTTGTTTTCTGGTGTAAATAGAGGATAATTTCACGAATGATTAATTAAAATGAAACCCTACAAGCAAATGTTTTGATGCAAAAACTATCTATCAAATTTAGATTTTAAATTTTTAATTTCAATTTTGAAATTTTAATTCAGATTTTGAATTAAAAATTAGATTTTGTGATCAAAAATTTAATGTTTAATATAACTAAGGTAGAATTATATTGAAAATTATATTTTTAGATTTAATTCAGACTTATAATTTTTAAATTATCTAAAAATAATATTTTTATTTTTTAGATTATTTAGAAGTTATATAACTAATCTCAAAATCAGAATTAGTAATTGAAAATTTTCTGATTAAAAATTTATTTCTTGGGATTACTAATGTTTATTTTTTGTTTTAATTGAATAAAAAAATTGATACTTCAACTTTTAAACCCAAACATCTTCGGTTAAGAATTGATAAAATATTCGATGAGTATTTGAATGAGTAAGTTTGCCGACCACTGCGCTAGTTTAAGGCAGATGATGGCTGTTCAGTTCCAAATGGTAAATGGTGGTGACAAATGCGAAAAAAAATAAATCCAAAACAATTTTTTTTGTGTTTAATTTTCAAACCTAAGTTTGGGGTTTAAATATTTTCCCTTACTGCGCATTTGGACTAAATTTTTTTTAATTTTCAATCCGGCTTTTGAGATAAAATTTTGTTATATTATATTGCAATTTTGGATAAATTTTTTTTTTCAATTCAGCACTTCAGAATACATTTTTTTATTATATTTAAATAGAGATTTTAGAGTTTACAAAAAAGAAAAAAAAAATTCAAAAAAAAAGAATAATAAGTTCGGGTGTCACCGAACATTTTATACTCTCGCATGATAAAGTGATAATCGAGATTTCAGGCGTGGTTGCGAACCGATTTCACCCATATTTGGTACATGTCATCAGGGTGTTAAGAAAATATTATATACCGAATTTCATTGAAATCGGTTGAGTACTTGATGAGATATGGTTTTTGGTCCATAAGTGGGCGACGCCACGCCCATTTTCAATTTTTAAAGAAAGCCTGCATGCAGCTTCCTTCTGACATTTCTTCCGTAAAATTTAGTGTTTCTGACGTTTTTTGTTAGTCGGTTAACGCACTTTTAGTAATTTTCAACATAACCTTTGTATGGGAGGTGGGCGTGGTTATTATCCGATTTCTTCCATTTTTGAACTGTATATAGAAATTCCTAAAAGAAACGACTCTATACAGTTTGGTTGACATAGCTATAGTAGTTTTCGAGATATGTACAAAAAAGTTAGTAGGGGGCGGGGCCACGCCCACTTTTCCAAAAAAATACGTCCAAATATGCCCCTTCCTAATGCGATCCTTTGTGCCAAATTTCATTTTAACATCTTTATTTATGGCTTAGTTATGACACTTTATAGGTTTTCGGTTTTCGCTATTTTGTGGGCGTGGCAGTGGGCCGATTTTGCCCATCTTCGAACTTAACCTTCTTATGGAGCCAAGAAATACGTGTACCAAGTTTCATTATGATATCTCAGTTACAGTTTGCACGGACTGACGGACAGACAGACATCCGGATTTCAACTCTACTCGTCATCCTGATCACTTTGGTATGTATAACCCTATATCTGACTCTTTTAGGTTTAGGACTAACAAACAACCTTTATGTGAACAAAACTATAATACTCTGTTTAGCAACTTTGTTGCGAGAGTATAAAAATAGTAAATACATAAATAAATAAAAATACTTAAATAAAAAAATGAAAACAAATTAGTTTAAATTATTATTTTATTAGAATGCATTATTTGCAAAACTAAATATGTGCAGTAAAAGACACAAAATTTTTATTCTTATCCATATATGTATGTATATTTTCTACTGCTAAACCCAATTCATTCAGATAAAATTCATCAAATGTTAGTTCTGCGATATTAGATGTATATGTATATAGTAGTCGAAAATTGCATCATTAACCATATATTACATGTATCGTTTATTTTATATGTATGTATATAAGTATATATGTAAGCTCTTGCTATTCATATTTTTTAATTTGCAAACTTCAAAATCACGTGATACGACATTTCAGTGCAATATTAATAAACTTTTATGCTTTGAAAAAATAATGAAACGCGCATTTATTGTTGTTATTAAAATTATTAAAGAACTGTGGACGTAGAATTTGTCGGTTGAAAATTGTAATAAGTTTGTTGCGAAAAACTAATTTATCGAACTATGTATACATATGTGTATGCAATCAAACAAATTGTTGTTTATGGTAACTTAGAGATAACAGTGAAATAAAAGGCAAAACTTTTGGAATTGTTATTGGCGCATGTTGCGGCAGCGTTTAAATTAAAATCCCTTTTGAAACTGCTTCGACTCAAGGCGCTGCTGCAGCATTTCCAATTGTCTTTTTGCTTCGCATTGTGGAAAGTTTGTCATTTCGTAGTATTGTGGAGCTAAAGTGAGCAGCCATTCCGCTGAAAGGGTATTTAAAAATTTATAAGGGTGTAATTGATATTTGCTCAAGAAAATGTACGGAAAATTTTACTTACGTTTAATATCCGTAACTGTGCGTATATAATTCTTCGTCGTCAATACGAATTCATTATAGATTACCCAATCGGGTTTATGATCTAAACATGTAGACGGATGCAACTGCACATTTTGATTGTCTTTAATGGTCAAATAGTGGCCGGTACGTTCCAAATGAGCGACCTGCATGAAAAAGCCCTGCACCAATGCTTTGCGTATGTTGACATAATAGTCTTTCGATGTAAATTCTGTGCTGCTGCGCTTCAAATTGAAACGATCCATTATACGTGCGAGTTGTTGTCGCACATTATCGGCTGATTTTAATGAACGGAAATTTATAAAATTCTCATAAGACCAATTGGGGTCTTCACCACCTAAAAAATACAATTGATTTATTTATGAATAAAAGGAAATAGTATATAATTTAGATTAGCTTACTCTGTTTAAAAGCATGATAGACATTCAATAATGTCAAGTGATCACCATCGATATGAGCGAAACGCATCTTTGCCTCGTCGGCAGCTTTCTTAGCCTCATTCGGTCGCACAAAGCATTGTGGCACTGTCGTTGTGCGGTGAGGCGAGAGTATAATAGTAAGAGTGTAGAAAGGAAGAGAGAGAAAAAGTGGTTTGGTTTTGGGTTGGCGGCGTCACGGTATCCATTGAACGCGGCACAATCCCACCCAAACGCAGTTGAGTTATGTTTCACAGCAAATTTGATGATTGAAGGAGAGTCCTATTTTGCTTTACTAATTTGCGTATTTAATTTCGAGCAAAATTTTTCAACTTTCATTAAATTTTTTTAAAGAATTTCATATGATCTTTTGCTGATAATCTTCGAATATTGCGATTTTAAAGCAATTTTTCACTAAATTACGTAATTGTCCACTAAAAACAATGCCTAAATTGGCAAATGAAATTGGGTTTTGGTTGAGTAAATTTGTCGTGAGTTTCAAGAGCGATTTTTTTTTGTACAAATGCACACAATACGCACACACTACTTAAACCTTTAAAAATTATTTAAAGCTACTAATGCACTATATTAGAAATTTAAGTAATAATTAAAATGAATTTAAGAAACAGAATTAACTTTGCTTTTTTCCCAACAATTATTTAGTCTGCAGCACATTATGTTTAAAATAAATTTTATATGCAAGTTTGTGAGTTCAGTTTTACACATAATTTCGAACATTAAGGTCGAAATTTCGAACTTGAATTAGGAAAAAAAACACAAGTTATTTGCAGTGTGAAAAAAAAGACTGGTTTAAAGTTGTAATATCGCTCGTGAAACTGTTTTCAGTGGTGAATGCAAAAGACAAATGAATTGATAAAATTTTTCCTTTGCATTTTAACTAAAAATAAGAATTCAGCAACAGTGGAAAATAGCTGTCAGTTCGTTAGTCTATAACAATGTCAAAATAAATATCGATATAAGTTAGAAAAAAAATCCTGTTTTGCTAAAATTTCAATTTTCTTTTTTCCTTCAAAATTATATCCTAATATAAAGTGGTAGTAAGAAGCATTATGGAGCAAAAAAGTTTGTGCGCAACATATTAATAGCATTAGTATTGAATTGATTGCCTGAACTCAAGACTTTTTGAATGCCTACATAATAGAAGCTAAACAGTTATTGTGCAATTTCTTTCTCCTCTACATATGATTACTTATCACTTGAAAAAATTATAATAATCATTTCAAAAAAACTAACTACCTGTTTGGTTTTAAATAATAACAAATAAAAATATAAAGCACGTATTTGGTATTTATACGCGCATTCTCACCCGACAGCATTGCCGTTATTGAAAGTATCTCATTCGAGCAATTATGTTGACAGCTGGCTATTAACATTTTTGCCAACTGTGGATCCAATGGAAATTCAGACATGACGGCACCCAAATCGGTAAGATTGCCATCATCATCCAAAGCTGCTAAGTAATTAAGCAATTCCAGAGCACGCATAAGTGTTTCTGGTGCAGGTGGATCCATAAAATCGAAGTGCACTAAATCATCAATACCAAGCTTCTTCAATTGTAAAACAACAGTACCTAGAAGAGTATACAGAATGCCATATACACTTTGTTCAATAAAATTAATTTTGAAATAGTAATGTTTACCTAAATTTGAACGCAATATTTCCGGGTAGGTATTATCCTGCATTTCATTTTTATAAGCCTTTTCAGTGTATAATCGGAAGCATTTTCCTGGCCGTGTACGCCCAGCACGACCAGCACGTTGTTGTGCCGAAGCTTTAGATATAGCGGAAATAAGTAAACTCTCTACACGTATACGTGGGTTGTAGACTTTCTGTTTCGCAAATCCTGGATCAATCACGAAAACAACACCATCAATGGTAAGCGATGTTTCAGCAATATTGGTGGATACAACGACTTTACGTCCGATGGCCCCGTTAGCATTGCGCGGTGGGGCAGGCTCAAAAATACGTTGTTGTAAATTTGGCGGCAAAGTTGAGTAAAGTGGTATGCATTTAAGTTCGCCAATATCTGAACCCAAGTTGTCAGTTTCACGTTTAATGCGTTTGCATGCTTCTTCTATTTCTTCCTGACCAGTTAAAAACATCAATATATCACCTGAAATTCGTTTAAGAGTTAGTCAGAAAACTACTATTGTTTAATTTGTTTACCTTCAATATCTTCGCACATATGTATTTGTATTACTGTACGTATTGCTGCTTCTAAATAATCACGTTCGGGTTCGGGTGTATAGAAAATTTCTACTGGATGTGTACGACCCGGTACGTTCATTAAGGGTGCATTATCGAAATACTGTTGAAATTTGCCGGCATCTAATGTGGCGGACATCACTACTAATTTCAAATCACTCCTTTGCCTTATAACTTCTTTCAGTACACCCATCAAAATATCTGTTGCCAATGTACGTTCGTGAGCCTCATCCAACAATATAACCTGATATTGTTCCAACATGGGATCAGACATAGCCTCACGCAGCAACATACCGTCAGTCATGTATTTGAGTACGGTTTTGGCAGATGAGCAATCCTCAAAACGAATAGAATATCCCACTTCTTCGCCAAGTCCTACGTCCATTTCTTCCGAAACACGCTGTGCCACAGACATTGCTGCTACACGACGTGGTTGTGTACAAGCGACACCCTTTTTACCTTTCGTCAGAGCAAACTCAACGCACCATTGTGGGATTTGTGTGGTTTTACCAGAACCAGTTTCTCCCACTAAAACTATACATTGATGTTCGTTTAATAAACGCATGAAGTCAGCTTGATATTCAAAAACTGGTAGCGTAATTCGTTTTTTATAAAGGTTAAAGTAGCGCTGTGTATAGGGTTTCATATTGTAGGGATTTATAGCGCCCGGCTGGCGCGTGGCACCAACTACATTGCCGGTAGTGGGAGCAACTGTAGAGGCATTAGCAAACGTTGCCGAGGACGGATCATAATCCCTTTGATTAAAAAAATTAGGTATATATTAAATGAGATATGCAAACTTTATTTAAATTGCGCCTATTTTACATTTGCATGTGTGTATCACTTACTTTTTCGCCTTCGAATTGTAGGTTTCACCGACTTCTATACGCCTTTTCGACATTTTAAAACAGTTCTATGTGCCTTAGATGGTGGTAAATTACAAATTTTTTAGTATTGCAATCACTATTAAACGTATAAAAACGATTTTAGAAAGCAAAATGCACACGAAAAACACGCGTTTAACGTCCAATATTCACCTTTGCAGCAAATAAAAGAAAATGAAGTTGGCCGTAAATAACCCATAGAAGCAGAGTTGCACGATTAGTACTATAGTAACATGAGAATATAATAGCCTTATTATGAGAAAACCTCACAACTGGTTTATTTTGCGAGGTTATTCTTCCTCAAATTTCACAAGAAGTAAAAAGCACAAAACGTTCACCACATGAGTTGAAAAGCATTTTGCTGTGAACCAGCTGTTTTACAAAAATAAGCAAGGTAAATGGACAACCGAGATAAGTAAATAATTTCTCAAATTTATTAAATTTAGTGGATATATAATATTTTAATTTATTTTTAGGATTTCAAAATGTGAAAGAACGACTAAGAAGCAGCGCAGCAGTACAGAATATAATTTAAACATACATAGATTTTTATTCGTACATGTTTTAAATAAAACATACATACAAATGTACAAATTAAATCTTGTCAAAATTATTTCAACATAAATACGTATATTTATTTTGTTCGTAATTGTTACATATTTATTGTAATCTTTTGAATACTTCCTCCAATCTATTTAATCAAAATAATTGCAAAGTATTTTAATGATACAGAAATTAAAAAAACATTTTCTACCGGTTTTTCATTGTGAGGTTTGCTTTCTGACATCAACAATTAGTGAGGTAATTGTAAGCATTTGTGCTTTTGTAATCACCTCAGCATACAGAAAAACACAGAAATCTCAAAAACCTTACAATAGTAAGACTTGTGATTTTTGTGAGGGTACTAGCATTGGGCTATCAATTGTAAACATGCCATAAGTTTTGAATTTGGCATCACTGGTGCCATAAGAAGTGTTTCCTTGAACACAAAGCGAGTAAAATCCATACAACACTGATTTCAGACTGGAAAAACAGAAAATTTTATTGTGAGCAAGCTGCGAAAATTGTTTATAAAATACTAAATTGTTAAATAAAAGCTAGATAATTTGTGAATTAACATGTATCATCAACGTTACAATAATTTGGCATAATTGAGTGTACAATTAGCGCATCGAATATGATGGAAATTCCGATACAAGTTGCTGTCCGTATCTACCCCTGCTTACCACCGGCTGTAACGACACCGCTACTATCAGCTGGCAATGTTGTAGATACGCAATCCATTTTAGGGGCTGATGAACATTCGCAAATAACAACGCAAAAAGATGACAATGGGAATTTTAATGCTAATGAAAATGCTAGAGATAATGGTCCCATAAACATGCAAAATGAACCTACTAGAGCTGAGGCCAACATTTATGTGCAAGCCATTCCAATGACTGCGCCGGGATTTCTAAACACCGCACCCACTGCTTTGCCTGGTCAAATGGATAACGGCATTGCCGCTGGTTTAATGCAAGTAGGACCGCATTCATTTCCCGTGACTCATGCTCTATCTATGGATTGCACACAAAGTCAAATTTACCATCAGACTGTATTTCCTCTGATTAGTTTGTTTATGGAAGGATTCGATGCCTCTGTAGTAACATATGGGCAAAGAGGAACTGGTAAAACGTACACACTTTACGGACCTGGTTTGGATTGTGTGTATAGTGAGTCCGAACAGGGCGTGGTGCAAAGATGTGTACGCGAAATATTTTCCCATATGGCCAACCATCCAGGTAAATTTTGAAATGGTGCAAAAGGTTTTTTAAATGATATAGATTTTTGTAGAACGTACTTACGCTATAAATATCGGTTGGGTGGAGATAACCGACGATGCTATTCATGATTTATTGGGTGTGGGCAATGTTCATTGCAATAGTATAACGGATGTTTTTCATTGGTTACAAATTGGCTTGAATGCCAAGCAGTCTTCTAACAATAACAGTAACGACGATTTATCTATAAGCCATACACTTTTTACGCTTACACTCGAACAACAATGGGTTTCAAAAGAAGGTCTCATACAACACCGTCTTTCAACGGCTAGTTTCTCCGATTTATGTGGCACTGATCGTGTATTCATGCTGAATGCATTAGATCAAACGGCAAGCTTACCTAAGGATGTGGGTTTGCAAACATTGGAGCGGGTAGTAAACACACTTACTGATCCAGCACTCATGTATGGTTCTAATGGCAATATACCTTATAATCAAACCACATTGACTACATTATTGAAAGACTCATTTGGTGGCCGCGCACAAACTTTACTTATTTTATGTGTTTCGCCACTGGAGCGAGATTGCAATGAAACAATCTGCAATTTACAATTTGCCTTCAAAGTACAATGTGTCAGAAATTATGTTATTATGAACACATTTTCGGACGATAACACACCCATTTCTCCCGAAGCAATAATGCCCGAATTGCCTGGAGGCGGTGGTCCTGGTATACCAGTGGGAGCAGATACATTCGGATTACAGTTTGCTGCAAGTCAGTGGTACAAATTGGTATCCAATGCCGAAGGGTTGTTCTCAAAGTAAATAATAAAAAAGATAAACATTTGTATTACCTATTATTATTTAATAATAAATCCACAGATTGGCTGCTTCAAATGCTGTGACTGAGTTGGACAAAGAACAAATTGAGGAGTGGCTTTTTCTCAAGCAAGAATGTGAGGAATGTTTAAGCTCTGCTGAAGCTATACGCCCACAGAAACAACTAGGACCCATACAAGAGACCGAAGAGCCTGAAGAGGTTGTTAGCGATCCCGAAACCTCATTTCAACAGAATTCGGATAATGAATCGGACTGTGAGTCACAACGACCTGATTTGATGGAAAAATTAGAAACGCTTATGGAAGAGCTACGCATAAAAACAGATACTTTAATAGAAGAGAAATATAAAGAATTTATACAAAACCAACCAAAAGCTGTAATGGAAAGTCAGGAGAGCGCAAGACGAAAGGAATCTGCTCAGAGCTTAGAGTTAGTGTTGAGCGAACAACGCCAACCTAGTGAAAAATTAGATGAACGCAAGCCATCAATGGGAGGTATGTTGCTAAGTCTAATAATATTAAATTATTTTGTCTTTAAACTTTACTTTTGCAACGTCTAGGTCGACGTAGATCGATACAGCCCGGAGCCACTCTATCAAGTGCTGAGATCGCAATGCTCAACCGCGTGGCGTCGCGTGAACAGACAGCACCAAAAGCATCTGACGACTTTCTTGAGAGTTCAGGTAACCTGCAGAATGCAGCACAATTACGCGCTGCAATTAATTCGCCGCTGGAAAACGTACAAAAGAAATTGCGGAAATTGGTCACAGATATCGAAGCGCGCCAACGGCAAATAGAGGAAGTAGAACAAACAATGCAGTTGAAACAGAATATTATAACGGAACTGGTGAAAAATAGTGACACACGCTCCACAGCCAAACAACGTTTCCATAAGAAGAAATCCAAACTTGAGTCTGAGTATGAAAAGACTAAAAAACAGTTGGCTAAAGCCATAGTCCAGGGTAAGGATAAATCTGAGATCGAACGCTTGCGCGCATTAATCGCACATATAGAACAGCGGTTGCAAGATCTCGCCTCAATGAAGCATATCGCCGGCGAGAGTGGACAAAAGGTAAAGAAATTACAACAATCTCTGCATGAATCCAAAAAACTCATCGACGAGCTGCAAAAGAAATTAAAGAAAGATCGTAAACAACGTGAACAGTTAGAGCACGAGTTGAAAATGCTCAAAGAGAAAGAAAACACGCAGAGCGCCAACAGCAAAGCGCTTGTGAAGCTAGATGGCAACTTGAATACAGTCGAAGATGCTGAGCGGGGTAAGAATCTGAAAGAGGTGCAAGCAAGAATCTCGCATTTAGATCATGTGTTACGTGAGAAATCGGAGAATTTGGAACAGTATGGCGACAATGCCGAAGGCACAGGTGAAAAGGAGGGTCTGCGACATGAAATACGCAATTTGCGACGCACACGTGACCACCTACTCGAACAACGCTGCGCGCTCGATCGTAAATTAAAGCGCGACAAAGTGCTATCACAACGCGAGGAGCGAAAGCTACTCGAATGCGATGAGGCTATCGAAGCCATCGATGCGGCAATTGAATTCAAGAATGAACTTATCTGCGGCCACAAATCCATCGATACCAGCGAACGCTTGCAACGTGAGAAAGGCGAACAGATGCTCATGGCGCGTCTTAATAAACTCTCGCAGGAAGAAATGCGCACGCTGTTATATAAGTATTTCATAAAGGTAATAGATTTGCGCGACTCTTCGCGTCAGCTGGAAGTGCAGTTAATGCAGTTGGAACGCGAACGCGATGCTTGGGAGTGGAAGGAACGTGTGCTTTCGAATGCAGTGCGGCAGGCGCGTCTCGAGGGTGAACGTAATGCTATACTATTGCAGCGACAACATGAAATGAAGCTCACATTAATGTTACGTCATCTCGCTGAAGAGACCTCTGCCTCGGCATCGGCTAGTTCGTTGAATTTCAGTGATGCACAACAACAGCAACAACAACGTTACTTGCGTCCTACACACCTTGCGCTAGCCCATCAACAACAGCTGCACACAGCTGGCGGCGCTATTAACACAACATCGCCATACTCTGATTCTGATCTCGAGCTAGAATTTTACAAGCCCACCGTACCAGTGAGTGGTAAAATTTTGAAGCCACCTAAACATGGTGAAATGGAAATATGTCCGCTACCCGATGCTCTGGCCAAATATAAGCCCTTGGAAAAATTCAAAGAAAAGGAACGCGAGTCTAAGAACAAACTATTTGCCAAATTTCAAGTGCTCACACGTTATGCCGGTCAGTCGGTGACTGCCGCAGCGGCTGGCTGTGCTGCTGACGAGCAGACTGGCGGTAGCAGTAGCCGTAAGAAGGATAAGGATCAATTAGCAGCGGCCATACCGCAAGAGAACTTAAAACGCTTAATATCAACACCTCCCGCCACGAAAGTGACGCGTCAGAAAAATAAGATTATAATACAGGATGCAACACGCAAAAATTAGTAAACATTGAAGTATGTTATTTACTTTTATATCTCAATATACGTGCATACAAATATACATATACACATATAGGGCTGAGTAGAGAGCAGGTAAGAAGTATATACAAATAGTTGTAACAATTATTTACTACAGCTATCGATTTTATCATGATCATGTATAAAGTTGTATTATCTAAACACATGTTAACTATATGTTTTTTGGTAGCTATCGATAAACTTTTCGGTTGTCACAAATGCGATATAAATCACGTAAATATTCCTATGTGCCAGGTGCTTTTGCACTTGTTAATAATTTAATTATTTGTTTAAAATATATGTATTATTCGACTAGTATAAAGCATATGGTATGTGCTATAGGCGAAATAAACTTCAGGTACTTTTAAAATATTACGCAATGAAAATTTCGCAAAGAAATTGGTTAGAAAAGAAAGGTCTTTGATTTTGCGAAATGAATTTCAGTTTTACATTCTTATTATTGTATCTGTAAACATTGTGCTGTTTTGTTTTTATTGGAATTAGCTGTGCTTTTTGGGCAAAATTATTCAAAAAAGTTTGAATATAAAGTTTTGTTGCTCTAACACATAATAACATTTAAAATATACATTTACAATATTATACATATCGTCACCTGAAATGCAAAATAACGTAACAACATTTTCGGAAATTTACAGAGCCATGAATGAAACAGGAAATAAAATGAAACATGAGTAAAATACATTTCATTATTGGTTAAAACTGGTTTATATCTGAGCGCAGAACCTGAAAATGTTGAACATATGTAATATAATGTATGTATGTAATTTGAAGTAGTGAGGCGTAATAAATAAGACACTCAATTTCGAATTTTTTGATGAAACGTTATTTTGCATTTCAGGTGACAATATATTACATATATATATATAATTTTGCTTTTAATATTGTTTTGTTTTATTTATATTATTTTATTTTATTTCTTTTTTCTTATATTTTGTGTAAACTGATTTTTGTGTCTCTTTATTTTATCGCGACGACTTTAATTATTTCATTAAATGTTATTTATATAAATTAGCAACGCAAAACTTTTCTAAATGTCATTCAAAAGATTAGTTTTTAAAATTTCCAAAAAATTTTATTGAAAAATAGTTTGTGTATAGTATTATTTAATTGTTTTATTTTCTATTTTATCAATATTAATTACCAAATGGTCTTTTTTCTTTCATTATTAATTTTGGGTGTTATTTTTTTAAATAAAAATTATATTTAGTTACTTTTTATGTTTTATTGAAATTATTCTGTTCATTAATTACAACAATTGCTGTTAGTTGACAAGAGTGATACGTTTTTTACATTAATTTTTTTTTATCGTAAAGAGAGTATATTAAGTTTGCTCAGAGGTTTGAAACACCCAGAAGGAAACTTGCTATTATTCGAGTTAAATATTTGATTTTCGTTTTCCAAACAAATAATTATATTTTGTAACAAATTGTGTCGTAGTGCTTTGTGCTGAAATTGTACGTCATACTTAATTTTTAAATACAATGAAAAGAATTCATAATCATTTAATTTTTGTTTTTGTAAAAATTTTTATTATTTTTTTTATTTTGTTAAATATTTTTTTGTTAAAAATTGCAATTTCTTTGTTACATATATTATTCCCATACCTAAAAAAATATGGAGTCTACAATGTTGACTAAAACTCAATACTCACATTTATTATAAAATAAAAATATGGTATATGGAATTATATAAATAAATAACAATTAATTTTTTTCCTCATATATGGTTCTATAGAAAAAATTATTAATTCCATGGTAGCTATTTTTCCTGCTTAGATTAAGGATACACATACTTACATACATACATACATACAAACATTTTTATGCAACTAATTTAATAATAATTTAAGACTCAATTTTGTACACATACTTTTAAAAGTTAACTTCATAGTGTCATAATCGTAGCATTATAGCATATACCTTCCGATTATATTAAGAAAAACTATTTTAAGTTCGAAAACTTAATAATGTGCTCATTTAATATAATTTCTTACCTTTAAGACAACTAAGTATTAATTACTATAAATTTATGTATTGCTCATATAAGCAAAACGACACGAAGTGAAGCGAAGCGAAAAAAAATGAAAAATGAAAGAACAAATCACGATGTAATACTCAAACCCACTTAATGGCATTTAAGCAATTTCTCGTCTATGTATATGTAATGTAGTCTATATTGCACACAAGCCCACACACACACCCCTATACTTAAGTAAATAATGTGTTTAGAAAAGTTGTATTCGAAATATCTATAGTAAAAGACACTTTTGATACCCCGAATTTTATGAAATTGTGTTAACAATAAAATATATTATTATATATTTTTATTATTACGTTAACGATTTCTTCGAAAAGAATTGAAAAGACATTTAATTTACTTTTATATATCGTACATATTTAGAAGTCATCGTATTTTTCTCTATAAACCACAAATCTTATCTGAAACTAAAATTTCTTAGACGCACCACCACAAGCCAGCAATTAGTTTCCCATAAACATATATTGATTGTATTAAGAAAACTATATATATAAATTAAATATCAATTAAATGCCATATTATATTACAAAACATACAGAAATATTCATAAATATTAACAAGTTAAATAAATATTGCAATAATATGTAGAAATTAAATTATTTAATATTTGAAATTTGCATGAAAATTGTCACAGGTAAGTTTATGTTGTTGTTCTAGTGTCAGAAAACATTGCCTCTATGTAGTATATTTTTGGAGAACGCAGCCGATCTCTCAGTTTTGGGCCGGTTAACAACCGGCATTTTTTCGGTTAGGCTTGCAAACAATGCTTTGAAAATAATTGAACTAACATAACTTCTCTTTATTTGTAATCTCAAAAATCTTAACTAATCATAATTTTTATTATTAATTACTTGTTTCAATTTGTCGA